TTGCTGCTATTGTTACTGTTGCTGGTGCCACTTTTGTTACGGTTGCTGGTGTTGTTGTTGTAACTTTTTTTGGTGCTTCTGTTGTTACTGTTGATGGTGCTACTGTTGTTACTGTTGTTGGTGTTGCTGTTGTTTCTGTTGCTGGTGTGTCTGTTGTTACTGTTGCTGGTTCTGCTTTTGTTACTTATGTTGGTGCTGTTGTTACTGTTTGTATTGCTGACTGTGAGGTTTCCAGTGCTACTGCTTATGCTGCTGACTGTGATGTTTGTAGTGCTACTGCTTATGTTGCTGACTGTGATGGTTGTAGTGTTGCTGTTTACGCTGCTGATTGTGATGCTTGTAGGGCTGCTGCTTTTGCTGCTGACTGTCGTGCTAGTATAGCTACTGCTTGTGCTGCGAACTGTGCTGTTTGTAGAGCTACTGCATGTGCTGCTGACTGCTGTTTGTAGAGCTACTTCTTGTGCTGCTTACTGTTGGGCTTGTAGTGATACTGCTTGTACTGCTTACTGTGGTGCTTGTAGTGATACTGCTTGAGCTGCTGACTTTGGTGCTTGAAATGCTGCTAACTGTGATGTTTGTAATGCTTTTGCTTGTGCCCCTCCTGCTGTGTTGTTTGTAGAGCTACTGCTTGTGCTGCAGACTATAGTGCTTGAAGTGTTGCTGATATTACTTTAGCTGCTATTGTTACTTTTGATGCTGTTGTTACTATTGTTGCTGATGTTACTGTTGTTGCTATTGTTAATGTTCATGTTTTTGTTACTGTTGATTGTGCTGCTTTTGTTACTGTTGCTGGTGCTGCTGTTGTTACTGTTGCTGCTGTTGTTACTGTTGCTGATGTTGTTACTGGTGTTGCGGTAGTTACTATTGCTGTTGTTGTTACTGTTGCTGCTGTCGTTACTGTTGCTGGTGTTGCTGTTGTTACTGTTACTCATGCTTCTGTTGTTACTGTTGCTGTTATTGTTACTGTTGCTGTTATTGTTACTGTTACTAGTACTGCTGTTGTTATTTTTGCTGCTGGTTTTACTGTTGATGATGTTGTTACTTTTGCTGCTGTTATTACTGTTGATGCTGTTTGTACTGTTGATTGTTCTGCTGTTGTTACAGGTGTTGCTGTTGTGACTGTTGCTTGTGCTCCTATATTGTTGTTGCTGATGTTGCTGTTGTTACTGTTGCTTGTGCTACTGTTGTTACTGTTGGTTTTGCTGCTATTGGTACCGTTGATGCTGTTGTTAATGTTGCTGGTGTTGCTGTTGTTACTGTTCCTGGTGTTGCTGTTGTTACTGGTGTTGCAGGTGTTACTGTAGCTGCTGTTGTTACTGGTGCTGCTGTTGTTATTGTTGCTTCTGTTTGTACTGGTGCTGCTGTTGTTATTGTTGATGCTGTTGTTATTGTTGCTGGTGTTGCTGTTACTTTTGTTCTCGGTGTTGCTGGTGTTAATGTATTGCAGGTGTTACTGTTGCTGCTGTTGTTACTGTTGATGTTGTTGTTACTGTTGCCGCTGATGTTATTGTTGCTGCTGTTCTTACTGTAGCTGCTGTTGTTATTGTGGCTATTGTTGTTTCTGTTGCTTGTGCTGTTGTTGTTACCGTTGCTGGTGCTGCTGTTGTTACTGTTGCTGGTGTCGTTACTGTTACTGGTGCTGCTGTTGTTACTGTTGCTGGTTTTGTTACGGTTACTGGTGCTGCTGTTGTTAGTGTTGCTGGTGTTGTTACTGTTACTGCTGGTGCTGTTGTTACTGGTGTTGCTCTTGTTACTGTATCTGATGATGTTACTGTTGCTGCTGTTGTTACTGTTGCTAATGCTGCTGTTGTTACTGTTGCTAATGCTGCTGTTGTTACTGTTGCTGGTGCTACTATTGTTACTGTTGCTGGTGTTGCTGGTGTTGTTTTTGTTACTGTTGTTGGTGCTACTGTTGTTACTGTTAATGGTGCTACTGTTGTTACTGCTGATGGTGCTACTGTTATTACTGTTACTTATTTTGCTGTTGTTTCTGTTGCTGGTGTGTCTGTTGTTACTGTACTTGGTGCTGCTGTTGTTACTGTTGTTGGTGCTGTTGTTGTTTCTGTGTTGACTGTAATGCTAGTAGTGCTACTGTTTGTACGGCTGACTGTGAGGCTTGCAGTGCTACTGCTTATGTTGTTGACTGTGATGCTTATAGTGCTGCTGCTTATGCTGTTGACTGTGATGTTTTTAGTGCTGCTGCTTATGCTGCTGACTGTGTGGCTTGTAGTGCTGCTGCTTCTGCTGGTGACTGTGGTGCTTGTAGTGCTGCTGCTTGTTCTGCTGACTGTGGTGCTTGTAGTGCTCCTGCTTGTGCTGCTGACTGTGGTGCTTGTAGTGCTGCTGCTTGTGCTGCTGACTGTGGTGCTTGGAGTGCTTCTGCTTGTGCTGCTGACTGTCGTCCTTGTAGTGCTGCTGCTTGTGCTGCTGACTGTGGTGCTTGTAGTGCAGCGGCTTGTGCTACTGACTGTGGTGCTTGTAGTGCTACTGCTTGCGTTGCTGACTGTGATGCTTGAAGTGCAGCTGTTTGTGCTGCAGAGTGTGATGCTTGTAGTGCAGCTGCTTCTGCTGCTGACTTTGGAGATTGTATTACTGCTGCTTGTGCTGCTGACTGTAGTGCTTGTAGTGCTGCTGCTTGTGCTATTGACTGTTCGGCTTGAAAAGCTACTGCTTGTGCTGCTGACTTTGATGCTTGTAGTGCTGCTGCTTGTAGTGCTGCTGTTTGTGCTGCTGACTGTGATGCTTGTAGTCCAGCTGCTTCTGCCGTGTATTGTAGTTACTGGTGATGCTGTTGTTATTGTTGCTGCTGATGTTTCTGTTGTGGCTGTTCTTACAGTTGCTGCTGTTGTTACTATTGCTGGTGCTTCTGTTGTTACTATTGATGCTGATTTAGCTGCTGGTACTGCTTGTGCTGCTGACTGTCGTGCTAGTTGCAGAGCTACTGCTTGTGCTGCTGACTGTGCTGTTTGAAGAGCTACTTCTTGTGCTGCTTACTTTTGGGCTTGTAGTGATACTGCTTGTACTGCTTACTGTTGAGCTTGTAGTGATACTGCTTGAGCTGCTGACTTTGGTGCTTGAAATGCTGCTGACTGTGATGCTTGTAATGCTGCTGATCGTGCCCTTCCTGACTTTGTTGCTTGTAAAGCTACTACTTGTGCTGCAGACTATGGTCTTGCAGTGTTGCTGATGTTGTTATTTTTGCTACTGTTGTTACTGGTCCTGCTGCTGTTACTGTTGCTGCTGTTGTTACTGCTGCTGGCGTTGATACTGTTGCCGGTGTTTTACTGTTACTGATGTTGCTACTGTTGCTGCTGTTGTTACTGTTACTGGTGCTGCTGTTGTTACTGGTGCTGGTGCTGCTGTTGTTAATTCTGCTGCTGTTTTTTGTTACTGCTGTTGTTACTGGTGCTGTTGATGTTACTTTATCTGCTTTTGTTACTGGGTGCTGTTGTTATTACGGTTGCTGCTGTTAATACTGTTGCGGCTGTTGTTACTGTTGTTGATGCTGGTGTTGTTACTAACGCAGTTTTGCTGCTGTTACTGATGTTGATGTTGTTGTTGTTGCTCCTGTTTTTACTGTTGTTGGTGCTGCTGTTACTGTTGCTTGTGCTGCTTTTGTTACTGTTGCTGGCGCTGCTGTTTTTACTGCTCTTGCTGCTGTTACTGTTGCTTGTGGTGCTTTTGTTATTGTTGCTGGTGCTGCAGATGTTACATTTGCTGGTGTTGCTGTTGTTGCTGGTGCTGCTATTGTTACTGATGCTGCTGTTGTTAGTGTTGCTGCTATTGTTACTGTGGCTGATGTTGTTACTGTTGCTGCTGTTGTTACTGTAGCTGCTGTTGTTACTGTTGCTGGTGCTGCTCTTGTTACTGTTGCTGGTGTTGTTACTGTTACTGGTGCTACTGTTTAAACTGTTACTGGTGTTGCTCTTGTTAATGTTGCTGGTGCTGCTCTTGTTAATGTTGCTGGTGCTGCTCTTGTTCCTGGTAATGCTGTTGTTACTGTTTCTGCTTATATTTCTGTTGTTGTTGTTGTTACAGTTGCTGAAGTTGTTAGTATTGCTGGTGCTGCTGTTGTTACTATTGCTGCTGATTTAACTGCTGCTACTGCATGTGCTGGTGACTCTCGTGCTAGTATAGCTACTGCTTGTGCTGCGAACTGTGCTGTTTGCAGAGCTACTGCTTGTGCTGCGAACTGTGCTGTTTGCAGAGCTACTGCTTGTGCTGCGAACTGTGCTGTTTGCAGAGCTACTGCATGTGCTGCTGACTGCTGTTTGAAGACCTACTTCTTGTGCTGCTTACTGTTGGGCTTGTAGTGATACTGCTTGTACTGCTTTCTGTGGTGCTTGTAGTGATACTGCTTGTACTGCTTACTGTGGTGCTTGTAGTGATACAGCTTGAGCTGCTGACTTTGGTGTTTGAAACGCTGCTGATTGAGATGCTTCAAATGCTGCTGCTTGTGCCCATGCTGATGATTGTGTTGCTTGTAGAGCTACTGCTTGTGCTGCAGACTATGGTGCTTGTAGTGTTGCTGATGTTGTTACTTTTGCTGCTGTTGTTACTGTTGATGCTCCTGTTACTATTGCTGCTGTTGTTACTGGTCCTGCAGTTGTTACTGTTGCTGCTGTTGTTTCTCCTGCTTGTGTTGATACTGTTGCCGGTGTTTTACTGTTATTCCTGTCGTTACTGTTGCTGATGTAGTTACTGTTGCAGCTATTGTTTCTGTTGCTGCTGATGTTACTGTTGCTGCAGTTGCTAATGTTCCTGTTATTGTTACTGTTGATTGTGCTGCTATTGTTACTTTTCCTGGTGCTGCTGTTATTACTGTTGCTGCTGTTGTTGCTGTTGCTGGGGCTGCTGTTGTTACTGTTGCTGCTGTTGTTACTGTGGCTGCTGTTGTTACTGTTGTTATAATTGTTTCTGATGCTGGTATTACTGTTGTTACTGTTGCTGGTGCAGCAGTTGTTATTGCTGCTGGTGTTGTTACTGTTACTGGTACTGCTGTTGTTACTGTTGTTTGTGTTGCTGTTGTTACTGTTATTGTTGCTGCTGTTGTTACTGGTGTTGCGGTTGTTACTGCTGTTGTTACTGTGTCTGATGTTGTTAATGTTGCTGCTGTTGATACTGTTGCTGGTGCTGCTGTTGTTTCTGTTGCTGCTGTTGTTACTTGTGCTAGTGCTTCTGTTGTTACTGTTTCTGGTGCTGTTTTAACTGGTTCTGCTTTTGTTACGGCTACTGGTGCTGTTGTTGTTCCTGGTGTTGCTCATTTAAATGTATCTGGTGCTGATTTTGTTACTGGTGTTACTGTTGTTATTGTTGCTGTTGTTACTATTGCTGCTGATTTTACTGCTGCTACTGCTTGTGATGCTGACTGTCGTGCTTGTATAGCTGCTGTTTGTGCTGTTGACTATGCTGTTTGCAGAGCTACTTCTTGTGCTGCTGACTGTGGTGCTTGTAATTATACAGCTTGTACTGCTTACTGTGGTGTTTGTAGTGATAATGCTTGTGCTTTTGACTGTGGTGCTTGAAATGCTACTGACTGTGATGCTTGTAACGCTGCTTCTTGTGCCCATGCTGATGACTGTGTTGCTTGTAGAGCTACTGCTTGTGCTGCAGACTGTGATGCTTGAAGTATTGCTGATGTTGTTACAGTTGCTGCTGTTGTTACTGTTGCTGGTGCTGCTGTAGTTACTGATGCTGGTGCTGCTGTTGTTACTGTTGCTGGTCCTGCTGTTGTAACTGTTGCTGGTGCTGCTGTTGTTACTGGTGCTGGAGCTGCTGTTGTTACTGTTCCTGGTGCTGCTGTTGTTATTAGTGCTGGTGCTGCTGTTATTACAGTTGCTGGTCCTGCTGTTGTTACTGTTGTTGTTAATAGTGCTGCTGTTTTTACTGTTACTGCTGTTGTTACTGGTGCAGTTGTTGTTACTTTATCTGCTTTTGTTACTGGTGCTGTTGTGGCTACTGTTGCTGCTGTTGTTACTGTTGCTGCTGTGTTTACTGATGCTGCTGTGTTACTATTCCAGCTGTTGTTATTGTTGTTGTTGTTGTTGTTGTTGTTGTTGTTACTGTTGCTGGTGCTGCTATTGTTACTGTTGCTGGTACAACTGTTGTTACTGTTGTTGGTGCTGCTGTTATTGTTGCTTATGCTGCTGTTCTTACTGTTGTTGGTGTTGCTGTTTTACTGCTCCTGCTGCTCTTACTGTTGCTTGAGCGGTTTTGGTTACTGTTGCTGGTGCTGCTCTGGTTAATTTTTCTTGTGCTGCTGTTGTTACCATTGCTGGTGCTGCAGTTGTTACCATTGCTGGTGCTGCAGTTGTTACTGTTGCTGTTGATGCTCTTGTTACTGTTGCCCATGCTTCTGTTGTTACTGTTACTGGTGCTGCTGTTGTTACTGTTGCTGTTGTTCCTACTGTTGCTGTTGTTCCTACTGTTGCTGGTGCTACTTTTGTTACTGCTGCTATTGTTGTTACTGTTGCTGGTACTGCTGTTGTTATTACTGTTGATGCTGTTGTTACTTTTGCTGCTGTTATTACTGTTGATTGTGCTGCTGTTGTTACAGGTGTTGCTGGTGTGACTGTTGCTTGTGCTCCTAGAGTTGCTGTTGTTGGTGTTGCTGCTGTTACTGTTGCTTGTGCTACTGTTGTTACTGTTGCTTTTGCTGCTATTGGTACTGTTGATGCTGTTGTTACTGTTCCTGGTGCTGCTGTTGTTACCGTTGTTGCTGTTGTTATTGGTGCTGCTGTTATTATTATTGATGCTGTTCTTACTGTTGCTGGTGTTACTGTTGCTTTTGTTCCTGGTGTTGCTGTTGTTACTGCATTGCAGGTGTTATAGTTGCTGCTGTTGTTACTGGTGCTGCTGTTGTTTCTGTTGATGTTGTTACTGTGGCCACTGATGTTACTGTTGGAGCTGTTCTTACTGTGGCTGCTGTTGTTACTGTTGCTATTGTTGATTCTGTTGCTTGTGCTGCTGTTGTTACTATTTCTGGTGCTGCTGTTGTTACTGTTGCTGGTGTCGTTAATGTTACTGGTGCTGCTTTTGTTTCTGTTGCCGGTTTCTTTACTGTTACTGGTGCTGCTGTTGTTACTGTTACTGGTGATGCTGTTGTGAATGCTGCTGCCGCTGCTGTTGTTACTGTTGCTGCTTTTGTTACTGTTACTGTTGCTGCTGTTAGTACTGGTGTTGTTGTTGTTACTGTTACTGCTGTTGATACTGTGTCTGATGTTGTTACTGTGCTGCTGTTGTTACTGTTGCTAATGCTGCTGTTATTACTGTTGCTAATGCTGCTGTTGTTACTGTTGCTGGTGCTCCTCTTGTTACTGTTGCTGGTGTTGTTACTGTTACTGGTGATACTTTTTAAACTGTTCCTGGTGTTGCTTTTCTTAATGTTGCTGGTGCTGCTGTTCTTCCTGGTGATGCTGTTGTTACTGTTACTGTTGTTGTTACTGTTGCTTGTGTTGCTGTTGTTACTGTTGTTGCTGTTTTTACTGTTGCTTGTGCTGCTGTTGTTACTGTTGTTAGTGCTGCTGTGGTTAATGTTGCAGGTGCTACTTTTGTTTCTGTTGATGGTACTGCTGTTGTTACTGTTGCTGATACTGTTGTTACTTTTGATGGTTCTGCTGATGTTACCCTTTCTGATGTTAGTACTGTTGCTGGTGCTGCTATTGTTACTGTTGCTGCTATTATTAATGTTGCTGTTGTTACTCAGTAGTTGTTCAGTTGTTACTTTTGCTATGGTTGCTGCTATTGTTACTGTTGCTGGTGCTACTTTTGTTACTGTTGCTGGTGTTGATGGTGTTGTTGTTACTGTTGTTGGTGCTACTGTTGTTACTGTTGATGGTGCTACTGTTGTTACTGTTGCTGGTGTTGCTGTTGTTTCTGCTGCTGGTGTGTCTGTTGTTTCCGTTGCTGGTGCTGTTGTTGTTACTGTTGTTAGTGCTTTTGTTGTTTCTGTGTTGAGTGTAATGCAAGTAGTGATACTGTTTGTACTTCTGACTGTGATGTTTGTAGTGCTACTGCTTACGCTGCTGACTGTGATGCTTGTAGTGCTGTCGCTTGTGCTGCTGACTGGTGTGCTTGTAGTGCTGCTGCTTGTGATACTGACTGTGGTGCTTGTACTGCTCCTGCTTGTGCTGCTGACTGTAGGGCTTGTAATGCTGCTGCATGTGCTGCTGACTGTGGTGCTTGTAGTGCTGCTGCTTGTGATGCTGACTGTGGTGCTTGTAGTGCTGCTGCTTGTGCTGCTGACTGTGGTGCTTGTAGTGCTGCTGCTTGTGATGCTGACTGTGGTGCTTGTACTGCTCCTGCTTGTGCTGCTGACTGTAGGGCTTGTAATGCTGGTGCATGTGCTGCTGACTGTGGTGCTTGTAGTGCTGCTGCTTGTGCTGCTGACTGTGGTCCTTGGAGTGCTTCTGCTTGTGCTGCTGACTGTGGTGCTTGTAGAGCTACTGCTTGTGTTGCTGACTTTGATGCTTGTAGTACTGCTGCTTGTGCTGCTAACTTTGGAGCTTGTAGTGCTGCTGCTTGTGCTGCTGACTGTAGTCCTTGTAGTGCTGCTGACAGTGGGGCTTGAAGAGCTGCTGCTCATGCTGCTGACTGTGATGCTTGTAGTGCTGCCGCTTGTGCTGCTGACTGTGGTGCTTGTAGTTCAGCTGCTTGTGCTGCTGACTGTGGTGCTTGAAGTGCTGCTGTTTGGGCTGCTGACTGTGTTGCTTGTTATGCAGCTGCTTGTGCTGCTGACTGTGGTGTTTGTAGTGCTGCTGCTTGTGCTGCTGACTGTGGTGCTTGTAGTGCTACTGCTTGTGCTGCTGACTGTGGTACTTGTAGTGCTGCTGCTTGTGCTGCTGACTGTGGTACTTGTAGTGCAGCTGCTTGTGCTGCTGACTGTGGTGCTTGTAGTGCTGCTGCTTGTGCTGCTGACTGAGAATCTTGCAGTTCTGCTGCTTGTGCTGCTTACAGTGGTGCTTGTAGTGCTGCTGCTTGGGCTGCTGACTGTGTTGCTTGTTATGCAGCTGCTTGTGCTGCTGACTGTGATGCTTGTAGTGCTGCTGCTCTTGCTGCTGACTGTGGTGCTTGAAGTACTGCTGCTTGTGCTGCTGTGTTGCTTGTACTGCTACTGCTTGTGCTGCTGACTGTGGTGCTTGTAGTGCTGCTGCTTGTGCTATTGACTGTGATGCTTGTAGTGCTGCTGCTTGTGATGCTTGTAGTGACTGTGATGCTTGTAGTGCTGCTGCTTGTGCTGCTGACTGTGATGCTTGTAGTGCTGCTGCTTGTGCTGCTGACTGTGATGCTTGTAGTGCTGCTGCTTGTGCTGCTGACTATTGTGCTTGTAGTGCTGCTGCTTGTGCTGCTGACTGTGATGCTTGTAGTTCTGCTGCTTGTGATGCTGACTGTGATGCTTGTAGTGCAGCTGCTTGTGCGGCTAACTGTGATGCTTGTAGTGCTGCTGCTTGTGCTGCTGATTGTGATGCTTGTAGTTCTGCTGCTTGTGCCTTTGACTGTGATGCTTGTAGTGCAGCTGCTTGTGCTGCTGACTGTGGTGCTTGTAGTGCTGCTGCTTGTGCTGCTGACTGTGATGCTTGTACTGCAGCTGCTTGTGCGGCTAACTGTGATGCTTGTAGTGCTGCTGCTTGTGCTGCTGACTGTGATGCTTGTAGTGCTGCTGCTTGTTTTGCTGGCTGTGATGCTTGTAGTGCTTCTGCTTGTGCTGCTGACTGTGGTGCTTTAAGAGCTACAGCTTGTGCTGCTGGCTGTGATGCTTGTAGTGCAGCTGCTTGTGCGGCTAACTGTGATGCTTGTAGTGCTGCTGCTTGTGCTGCTGACTGTGATGCTTCTAGTACTGCTGCTTGTGCTGCTGACTGTGGTGCTTGAAGTGCAGCTGCTTGTGATGCTTGTAGTGCTGCTGCTTGTGCTGCTGACTGTAGTGCTTGTAGTGTTCCTGCTTATGCTGCTGACAATTGTACTTGTAGAGCTACTGCTTTTGATGCTTGTAGTGCTGTTGCTTGTGCTGCTTGACTGTGGTACTTGTAGTACTTCTGCTTGTGCAGCTGACTGTGATGCTTGTAGTGCTGCTGCTTGTGCTGCTGACTGTGGTACTTGTAGTACTTCTGCTTGTGCTGGTGACTGTGGTACTTGTAGTACTTCTGCTTGTGCAGCTGACTGTGATGCTTGTAGTGCTGCTGCTTGTGCTGCTGACTGTTATGTTTGTAGTGCAGCTGCTTGTGCTGCTGACTGTGGTACTTGTAGTACTTCTGCTTGTGCTGCTGACTGTGGTACTTGAAGTGCTGCTGCTTGTGCTGCTGACTGTGGTACTTGAAGTGCTGCTGCTTGTGCTGCTGACTGTGGTACTTGTAGTACTTCTGCTTGTGCAGCTGACTGTGGTACTTGAAGTGCTGCTGCTTGTGCTGCTGACTGTTAATTTTGTAGTGCAGCTGCTTGTGCTGCTGACTGTGGTACTTGTAGTGCTGCTGCTTGTGCAGCTGACTGTGATGCTTGTAGTACTTCTGCTTGTGCAGCTGACTGTGGTACTTGTAGTGCAGCTGCTTGTGCTGGTAACTATAGTATTTGTAGTACTGCTGCTTGGGCCGCTGACTGTTGTGCTTGTTGTGCAGCTGCTTGTGCTGCTGACTGTGGTGCTTGTAGTGCTGTTGATTGTGCTGCTGATTACTGTGGTGCTTGTAGTGCTGTTGATTGTGCTGCTGACTGTGGTGCTTGTAGTGCTACTGCTTGTGCTGCTGACTGTGGTGCTTGTAGTGCTACTGCTTGTGCTGCTGACTGTGGTGCTTGTAGTGCTGCTACCTGTGCTGCTGACTGTGGTGCTTGTAGTTCTGCTTGTGTTGCTGTTGTGACTTGCTTGTGCTGCTGTTGTTACTGTTGTTGGTGTTGCTGTTGCTATTGTTGCTGCTGTTGTTACTGCTGCTGCTGTTGTTACTGTTGCTGTTGTTTTTACTATTGCTGCTGTTGTTTCTGTTTTTACTGTTGCTTGTGTTGTTGTTGTTACTGTTGGTACTGTTGTTACTGTTTTTACTGTTGCTTGTGCTGCTGTTGTTACAGGTATTGCTGTTTTTACTGTTGCTGTACTTGTTATTGTTGCTGTTGCTGTTACTGTTGCTGCTGCTGTTGTTACTGTTGCTGCTGTTGTTACTGTTGCTTGTGCTTCTGTTGTTACTGATGCTGCTTTTGTTTCTGTTTCATGTACTGCTGTTGTTACTTTAACTTGTGCTTCTTTTGTTACTGTTGCTGGTGATGTTACTGTTGCTGGTGCTGCGTTTGTTACTTTTGCTCGTGCTGCTGTTGTTACTGTTGCTGGTGCTGTTGTGGTTAATGTTGTTGGGTGCTGCTGTGAACATAAGAACATAAGAACAAAGGTAACTGCAGAAGGCATATTGGCCCATACGAGGCAGCTCCTATCTATAACCACTCAATCCCACTCATATACTTTTCCAACTCTGAGGTTAATGTTGCTGGTGCTGCTGCGGTTAACGTTGTTGTGCTGCTGTTGTTACTATTGCTGGTGCTGCTGTTGTTACTGTTGCTTGTGCTGCTGCTGTTACTGTTGCTTGTGCTGCTGTTGTTACTGTTGCTGGTGCTGTCTTGGTTAATCTTGAAGGTTCTGCTGTTGTGACTGTTGCCGGTGATCCTGTTATAACTGTTGCTGGTGCTGTTGTTTTTACTATTGCTGGTGCTGCTGTTTTTATTGTTGCTGGCGTTGCTATTGTTGCTGTTGCTGGTTCATTTGTTTTTACTGTTGCAGGTGCTGTTGTTGTTACTGTTTCTTCTGTTATTACTGTTACTAGTGCTTCTATTTTACTGTTACAACTGTTGGTACTGTTGCTGGTAATGCTATTGTTACTGTTGCTGTTTTTGTTGCACTTTCTGCTTTTGTAACTGTTGCTGGTGCTGCCTCTGTTACTGTTGCTGGTGCTTCTGTTGTTACTGTTGCTGGTCCTCCTGTTGATATTGTTTCTGGTGCTGATATTGTTACTGTTGCTGCTGTTGTTACTGTTGCTGCTGTTGATAATGTTGCTGTTGTTGGTATTTTTGCTGATAGTGTTACATTATCTTGTGCTGCGGGTTTTACAGTGGTTGCTGTTGTGACTGTTGCTTGAGCTGCTGTTGTTACCGTTGATGGTGTTTCTGTTGTTAAAGTTGATGCTGTTGTTACTTTTGCTTGTGTTTCTGTTGTTATTGTTGCTGGTGTGGCTGTTGTTACTGTTGCTGCTGTTGTTACTATTTCTTGTTTTGTTTTTGTTGCTGCTGCTGTTATTACTGGTGATGCTGTTGTTTCTGGTG